CCGCGCCATGAGGGCCCGCCGCCCTGGGGGCTGAGGCGCCCGCCGCCTGCCGCGCGTCCTCATGGAGGCCGGAGGTGAGTGCGGCCCAGGCGGGACGGGCCCAGGCGGCGGGTGAGCGCGGGCGCCCAGCTTTGTTTCACTTTCGCTGTCAGCCGCGCCAGCTGTCCTCCAGCCTCTGCGTGGGATCTGGGAGACCTGGCTGCCGCGGCGGGGGCTTCGCGTTCCCGAGCCCTGAAGACGCGAATGGGTCCCCACGGGGGAGGGTTCCAGGACCGGGGTGGCGCCACAGGCCGGGATGGGCGACTGCGCTCAGGACCCGCTGCCGAGCGGCCGCCCACGGCTCGGGTTGTCCATGCTGAAGGCAGAAGCAGCGCCCGCCGCGGTGGGTGGCCCGGACCTTCCCAAACTTGCGGGGGGCCGAGGGACCCCGCGGGACCCATGGCGGGGATGGGGCGGGGACCGACACGTAGGACCCGACACTCCGTGGGTGCAGTCCTCCACGCCTGGCCCGCCCCTGTCCACAGCTGTCATCACAGCGGACACCAGGGGAGAGGTGGAATGAACTTCCTGCCGGCCCGGAGGGGATGCAGGATCTGGGTGGGAAAGGTGGTGGTTCTGACCTGGCCGGACCTAGAGACCGCCCACGGCTTCTCCCTCCCAATCGCCGTGCCTCCGCCTGCGGAGAAATGACCTGGATTGGGGGCTTTATCCTGAGTACCCCAGTTTAGAGGCACTTCCTTAGGGGAACTTCTCAGGAGTCCAGGCCTAGGGCTCAGACTTGTTCCCCAGCCTTCACGGCTTCACTGCTTATCCTGAAGGCTTGCTATTGTGGATGTGTGGGTAGAAATCTAGGTATTCCCCGGGGTGGTGTTACTTTTTCCTTTAGGAAATGACATTTCTTTGTCTGCTGGAGCCAGGCTTCCAGTCCGAGGTGTAGAGGCAGCTCTTTGCCCCGGTTCCCATCTAGATAAAAGCCCTTTCAAGTGTGCTGCCCATAGAATTCTTTTAAAATGGCCTCTGCTGTTTTCTGGATCTTCTTTAGATCTTTTTATAGCTTCCGCTCTCATTTCCATTGATTCCTTATAGTTCTGAAAGCAGTCTGTAACTACACTCCCTTTTTAAACAGGAATGTTTCCAGTTCTGAGTTTTTCCTAGTGATTGACAGCTGTGTTTTAGGGCTGTGGGCAGAGTTGCTGAGAGCTGCCAAGATGCTGTTGAAAGGCCAGACTACAGGCCAGAGTTTTACCCTTTTTTCAAACTGAATAAAGCCTATTGTAAAGGAATTACAATAGACAATAGTAGAAATCTTCAGAGAAGTGGTTAGAATTCATTTATTCACTCAGCAAATATTTGTTGAGTGTCTACTGTGTGCTAGATGCCCTTAGCCCACTGCTGGTGGATAGAAATATAATAGAAATCATATATATATAATTTTAAATGTTGTAGCCGTATTAATAAAAAAACAGTTAAAATTAAATAAAAATCTGTCTCAGTCTAACACATCAAAAATATTTCAACTAGTTCATTTATGTGGTCAGAAATTAGAGATGTTTTAGACTTTCTGTACTGTCTTAATCTTTTTTATTTTTAGCAGATCTGTCACATTTCAAGCTATCAGCAAACCACTTGTGACTAGCAACTACTGTATTGTAGAACAGATAGGCCAAGGATAGACCATAAATGCATACAAACAACAAAAGCAATTCAGAAAAATGCCTGTGTTCATTACAGAGGAAGTTAAATAGTTAAAGAAGGTGACTTGGTGTGGCCAGGAATGTCACCACGGTGACTTGCACACATAATCCCACATATTATGATAGAAAGGCCAGGTAGAACCTTCCAGGCTGATGGTATAGCCAGGCAGTGCAAAGATCCTGAGGCAGGAAAAATACCACAAAGCTTCCTGCCATCTGAGCCATAACTTCACCTTTGCTAAGGCTGAACCTTGTGGCGCAGCAGAGGCTCCTAATATCTTTCTTTTCAGCCTTATGTGTATACACACCCCGTTGTTTCACTGGAAAACCTGGAAGGGGGTGGGATTAGAGAAATGCTGGTCAAAGATACAGATCTTCAGTTAGACAGGATCATGACTATACACTGACATACACTTGAAAATTGCTGGGGTTGGAGAGATGGCTCTGCGGTTAAGAGTTTTCTGCTCTTGAAAAGGATCTGAATTTGGCTCCCAAAACCCACCTATGTCAAGTGACTCTCAATCACTTAAAACTCCAGCTTCAGGGTATCTGACTTCCTCTTCTGACCTCCATGGGCATTTGTACTTATATGCACACACAAAGAGACAGAGACAGACACATGCACACATAAATACACAGAATTAAAATTTTTTAAAGCCAGACATGGAGTCACATGTCTGAGAGGCTGAGTCAGGGCCATCTCTCTGAGATGGAGGGCTGATCTTTGTGAGATGAAGGCCAGTGAGTTCCAGGCCAGCTTGGGCTACAAGGAGCCCCTGTCTCAAAACACAAAACAAAACAAAAAATTTAATCTTTAAAAAAAAGCTGAGAGATTTTCAAGTGTCCTCATCCCCCTCCCCCAAATGCTAAGAATGTGAAGTACTGTACATGCTAATGAGCTTGTATATTCCATTCCACAGCGTCTCAATGTATCACATGATATACAATAAATATGCACCTTATATTTGTCAGTTAAAAAAAAAAAGCCCCACGAGCGTGGTGGAGCACACCTTTCACCTTTAATCCCAGCACTTGGGAGGTAGGGATCTCTGTGAGTTTGAGGCCAGCCTGGTCTACATAGTGAGTTCCAGGCCAGCTGGGGCTACAGGGAGACTTTGCCTCAAAAAGACAAAAAAAAAAAAAAAAAAAAAAGCCCAGTCCAACCAAAGAGGACGATGCAGGTACAATTCCAAATGAAGCTGGATCCTTCCAGCTCTGTTTAGCTTTGTTTTGAACTTCTGCACTAATTATGGTTTTCTTTTCCAGTAGCCAAGTTTAGTTTGGGCCCAGACTCCAAGAGACAGAGTCACTGAGTTCTTTCTTCTTTTAGTTCCTAGATTCCTGAACCTGAAATAGCAAGAGATTAAATCCCCAAATCCCTGAAATAGAGTGTGAATTCTGGGTAGGGCTGGTGTTAAAGAAGAATTTCATGTGAAATGGTTGGCACAAACTTCAGAATAGGCTAAGGGGCTTAATTATAATTTCCTTTATATTTAAAGAGGTATGGCATGTCTGTTTATTCACCAAATATTTACTGGCAGCCTGCTCTATGACAAGCTCTGCTAGCATTGGGGATAAGCATACAAGGTTGCTGCTGTCCAGGGCCTCCTAGTGCTGGGGATAATCATTAACAGTGAGTTCTACAGAGGAAGTTAGGAGTTGGAAAGCACTGGCTGGGGCCACAGGAAGATCTTATTTGAGCCCCAGCTGGATGAAGGTAAAATTCCAGACCTGGAGAGGCATTCCTCTGAGGGGAGTAGCTGGTGCAAAGGCCCTGAAGTTGGAGCTAAGTGAGCATAGTCAGGTGGTAGAAAGGACAGGGTCCTGTATTAGGGCAAGGAGAGGAGAGGTATGCAAGCCCAGGTGTGAAAGAAGCAGTGGCCAGGTATTGCAGGGCTTTGAGGGGAGGGTGTGTGATTTGGGTTTATTCTAAGAGTGACTGAAACTGAACATGCTAAGAGGTAAGGAGAATGGATGGTCGAGGGCTGGAGCAGAAGCCAAAGAGTAGTAGGAGGGTTGCCTAATGGTGAGAGATGATGCGGTGTACATTTGAACGGTAGCCATGGAAATGACTAGAAAGATTTGGCGAGTCTTTTGGAGACAGACTTGGTCGAATTTGACAAAAAGGGTGGCCCTTTTATGTTGTGTCGAGCTCCATCTTTTCAGAAAAGTAGATGATGAGTGTGGAGTGGAGGAGATAAACCATGTGTTAATATTGCCAAGATGGCATGATGACCAGATCATTCTCTGTGGTGGAGATTCTAGGTTGCTCGGCATCCTGGCCTCTACCCAGTAGATGCCACTAGCACTTCATCCCCACTTGGAATAGCCAAATCCAATCGTTTTCAGGCATTATTACATGTCTTCAGGACACAGAAACACCCCCAGTAGAGAACCCTGGGGCTACATTTAGAAGACTTTAACAGATTAGGGCTTATTTACCACAGGACAGCAACCTGTTTAGCATCAGTATTCCTGTTGTGAGTTTGAAATATAAGGTGATTTAAAAAAAATATTTATTTTTATTTTATATGTACGAGTGTTATACCTGCATGTAGGTAAGTCACCTGTGTTGTGCAGTGCCCGAGGAGGACAGAAGAGGCTGTCAGATCCCCTGGAATGGGAGTTACGGACAGTTGTTAGCTGCCATGTGGGTGCTGGGATTCAAACCCAGGTCTTCTGCAAGAACAGTCAGTTTTCTTATAGCTGAGCCATCTCTCCAGCCCCATAAGGTGATTTTTTTTAAACCATGTTCAAATCCACAAAAGTATGCTCATACAGACATGTGGTTGCATAAGTGAAAGGACCACATGTACTGACATACAGATTTATAGGAAAAATGACCCGAGTCCATACAAACAGCAACCCAATATATTCAAATCTAGATTTCCACATAGAATCTCAAGGAATGTATATTCTCTTTATAAAGTCTTGATATGATGTTTTAAATAAGATGCATCTATGAGGCCAGTGGGATGGCTCCGTGTGTGTCTGTTTGAGACAGGCTCTAGGGTCTGTCTCACTATGTAGCCCTGGCTGGCCTGGAACTCACTTTGTAGACCAGGCTGGCTGGAACTCAATGGAGAGTGCCTGCTTTTGCCTTCCAAGTGGTGGAATTAGATGAAACCATGCTAGGCTTTTCAAAGGTTTTTAAAAGCATTTATGGGCTGGAGAGATGGCTCAGTGGTTAAGGGTGCTGGCTGTTCTTGCAGAAGATCCTGGTTTGGTTCCCAGCACCCACTTGGCCACTAACAACTGCCGGTAACTCCAGTTCCAGGGGATTTGATGCCCTCTTCTGATCTATACAGGAATTGCACAACATGGTACACTTACCGGCAAAACACACACATAAAAAATAAAAATGAGGGGCTGGAGAGATAACTCAGCGGTTAAGAACACTGGTTATTCTTGCAGAAGACCCGGGTTCAAATCCCAGCACCCACATGGCAGCTAACAACTGTCCGTAACTCCAGTCCCAGGGGATCCAACAGCCTCTCCTGACCTCCTCAGGCATTGCACGACATGGGTGCACTTACCTATATGCAGGCAATACATGCATACACGTAAAATAAAAAATAATAAAATTTAAAAAATGTTAAGAAAAATTAAATAAAAATAAATAAATAAAAACTTAAAAGCACTTGCCACACAGACTTGACCTAGTTCAATCCCAAGAACCTATGGCGAAAGGAGAGACCTGCCCTCTGAAAAGTTGTCCCCTGACCTCATACTTGTGTGGCATGTATATACCTTCACATACACATACACCACATACAATAATAATGAATAAAATTAAATGTCTATATTTTCCTATAATGCATATACCAGAAAATTTTACTGTTTATACATCGTATTTGCCATCTGTTTCACTGACTCCCAAGCTAACAATAGATCGTGTCACCATCATGTGTCATAGAGAAAAGATGTTGCTTGTTTAATTAGGAAAAGTTATCCATTGTGATAGACATTCTGATTTGAGGTCTAAATGTAAGAAAATGCATAAAGATAGGTCTTGAAATACATGAAATGTAGCTCATTTAAATTAGTTTCTATCTAGTAACAGCCATAAAAGTGTCAAATCCCAGAACTGCTGAAGAACATTCACAAGAGGAAGTGACCTCATTCAGGATGGAAGCCAGCTTTTGTATTAGTATGTATCATGGTCACAGTTAAAAAAAATCCATTCTTCCAGCCTTGCCTCAGAAGTCAGCAGTGGAGCATCTTCCACTGGAACAGAGAAGTGAAGTAGGAACCGTGGCTCTGTGGACGAGACCCTGTCCACTCTAAGAGAGCTGCTGGGCCCTACAGATCCGTGAAATCACCTTGTTGGTATTGAGAGTGCTTAAGTGCTAGTTACAAGCGAGAATGAACTAGTCAGTGGGACTCATTTCTGTGTGATAGGTTAGGGGTACTTCTCAGTTGCAGATCTAGGTGGGATTTTCCAAAAGCAGAAAGCGAGCAGGGAGAAAGGCTCTTGACAAGAGATGCATGTGGCCTGCAGGGCAGGGAGCAACATGGAAAGTGGTCTGACAGAGGGGTTAGTGCAGGAGTGAGGTGGCAGACTTAGGTGCTTTGATTGTGTAGACAGGTGGGAGCCTTAGAATATATTTGGTGTGTGTTTTTAGCTTTGGCCAGGTCTTAGGGTGCACAGGAACAAATTAGCCACTTGGAGACGCTTAAACCAGGACTCAGAGGACATGGAGAAGTGTCTGCCCTAAAGAGGAAAGTAAGGTCCGGATGCTGTCACCTTGCTGATGGTGCGGAGGGTGCTGGGAGTGAGAAGGAACCCTTGGGTTGTAGGCACCCAGTTCCTAGTGGCAGGATCTTTGCATGGCAGGAGCCCTGGCAAGGTTGCCTCTCACCTCTTTGCCTTTCTCTTCCTGCTCCACCATTTACAGGAAAATGAGGCCTTATTCACCAGGTCCATGACCCCACACCAAGGTTACTCCAAGTCATAGTTAACTGGCACTGGGGAGGGCTGGGACTGAGTAACCACAGTGGAATGTAGCCTGTGGCTACCGTTACTGCCTCTGGTCATTTAGATGACAACTCCCAGTATCCAAGGCATATAGCAGCTTCCCTGAGTCTGGTGGTCAGGTGCCAAGGGTGTGTTTTTGAAGCATGCTGTCTCCTGCCCCAGAGGAACCACTGCTGCTGGCAGAACTCAAGCCTGGGCGCCCCCACCAATTTGATTGGAAGTCGAGCTGTGAAACCTGGAGTGTCGCCTTCTCCCCAGATGGCTCCTGGTTCGCCTGGTCTCAAGGACACTGCATCGTTAAGCTGATCCCCTGGCCGCTGGAGGAGCAGTTGTAAGTTCTCTTCACATCCACAGAGAATGAGTTTTCATGACAGGTCATGGTTCTTTCCCAAGTTGCTCCTTGTTTTTGGGGGGTCTCTTTGTCCAAGAACAGGAGAGCAGGGCTGGAGAGGTGGCTTAGTGGTTAAGAGCATGGCTCCTTTTGCAGAGGACCCAGGTCCAATTCCCAGCGCCCACATGGTGGCTAACAACCATCCATAACGCCAGTTCCAGGGGATCTGACTCCCTCTTCTGACTTCTGTGGGCATTACACTACACGGGTGCACTTACATCTGTGCGGGTGGTACATTCATACACATAAAATAAAAATAATAAATATTGGGGCTGAAGAGATGGCTCATCAGTTAAGAGCACTGACTGCTCTTGCAGGGGACCCAGGTTCGAATCCCAGCACCCACATGATGGCTACAAACCATCCTTAACTCCAGTTCCAGGGAAATCCGAAACCCTCTTTTGATCTCCGCGGCATTGCATGACACGGGTGCACTCACATACATGCAGGCAATACACGCATACACATAAAATTTAAAAATAAGTAAAAATTTTAAAAACTAAAAAAAGAACAGAAGAGCAAGAAAGGGCTGCACAGTTCAGGATTTGATCATAAGCCCCATATTCTGTATATGGGCAAGCCTGCTCTACAGAGACTGTTGGTCTCACACTGGCTTTTTAACAGCTTTATTGAGATATGCTTAACATCCCATACAATTTGTCCATTTAAAGTGTGTAACACTAGCTGTGCTTGGTGATGCCCTCCTGTAATCCCAGCACTTGTGAGGTAGAGGCAGGAGGGCTAGTCCACAGCCTGGGCTATGTAGGCTATGTGGTGAGATTCTGTCTCAAAGTAAAATACAAATAAAGTGTACAATGCAATGGCTTTTAGTATTTTCAGAGTTGTGCACTCATGACCAAAATCAATTCTAGAGCATCTTCATTACCTCAGAAAGAGACCCTGCATCCTTTAGTGAATATCCTTTTATGCTCTCCAGCCCCTGGCAACTTCTAATGTGTCTTCTGTCTTATCTCTGTGGATTTGCCTAATGTGGGCATGTTGTGTTGAAATCTTACAGTATGTGCCCTTTCTTAGTGCAGAGTCCCAGCATAGTGTTTTATAATTCATCCCTATTGTAGTATTGACAAGTAATATTGCATTGGTATAGAGATGCCAAATTTTGTTGATAGATTTTTCACTGGTAGATGTTGGGTTTTCTTCATTGTTGACCATTATGAACATTCATGTACATGTTTTGTATGGGTGGGTGTTTTTCCAAGAATGGTGTCGTCTTATGTTCCCACCAGCAGCGTGTTCAGGTTTGAAATTCTCCCCACCCTTGCCAACACTTGCCTGTCTGACTCTAGCCACTGGTGTTAGTGAGTGAAGTGGGGTGATCATGGTCTTGATCTGTATTTCCTTCCTGGCTACTGATGATGAGACTTTTTCCTGTGCTAATCAGCTCTTTATGTTCAGAGAAATATCTAGTCCTTTGTCATTTTATAACTGAGTGTTTCATTTTGTTTGCTTTTTTACCTACTTTAGTTTTTGATGATGAAGTCCCCCCCGCCCTTTTGGGATAGACAGGTCCCAGTGTCTGAATGCTGTGAGTTTGCAATCTAGCTCAGCATCTGTATCTTTGCATCTGTTCTACTGCATGTCTGATTTATTTCTTTAGCCTGTATTCTTGCAAATCTTCCTCACATGACATTGCACTATAGGTGGAGGATCCTCAAGGACAGCAGAACAGCTCGATAGAGAGGCTTCTGATCATTTTGCTTTAGGTGTTTCTGTTAGTACACTAGACTCTGATCCAGTCTGTGGGAAACTTGCTGCTGTGATAATAGGTGATGCTGGGCAGAGTTTCCTGTCCTGGGTAGGCTGCACACTGCTGGGGTGGAAGATCGCCAGTGTTTTGTATCCCTCCTTGCTGGAACTCAACTGAGAATCTATGGAATGGTCAGCCCATGTCTGTTTGAGGTGACTGATGGCAGGCTTCTTGTGGATAGCTTCAGGATGGGGACTGGAACTGGTCATTCCTGGAAAACTGAGGCCACAGAAAGGGTTAGGACTTCTGTTTCTTCTATGGACAGTTAGTAGGACCATCAGGGTCATTGGCTGTTTGTTGATACATTATTCTAACTAAAAGGCAGTCTTGTTCATATTTAGATTTGAGTCTGGTATCAGTTTATTGTCTATAATTTTTTTTAATTTTTATTTTATATGTAAGACTGTATCGTCTGCATGTGTATGAGTGCACCTGTGTCATGCAGTTCCCATGGAGGTCAGAAGAGAGTGTTGGATTCCCTGGAACTGGAGTTGCAGGCAGTTGTTAGCCACCATGAGGGTGCTGGGAATCGAACCCAGGTCCTCTGTAAGAGCCACCAGTGCTCTTAACCACTGAGCTATCTTTCCAGCCCCAAGTTGTTTTTTTTTTTAAAGAACAAAGTAGAATCTATTATTTTCCCTTAAACCATTATTCTAAATTATATATATTACTATAGGTAACTACATCATTCCAGTAGTAACCAAGGAAACTAGAAAAGGTATTTGAATGCTGGCCCTTTTTCTGTATCATTTACTAAAATGAGAAGAGTTTTTATTATGTTAATGAAAAATTACTGGTTAGAGGGGCATATCATAGATTTTGAAGAATAATAACCTGGTGAAATACAAACATAGACAGTTTTTATTTTTATTCTCTACTTTTTTGGGTATTTTTTGAGACATGGTCTGTCTCCCTTTAGCCCCAGCTGGCCTGGAACTCGCTATGTAGACCAGGCTAGCCTCAAACTCACAATCTGCTTGCCTCTGCTCCCTGAATGCTTGGACTAAAGATATGCATCACCATGCCTGGTAACAGTTTTTATTTTTTTATCTTTTTTTTTTTCGGTCTTTTTGAGATAGGGTCTCTCTGTAGCCCCAGCTGTCCTGGAACTCACTATGTAGACCAGGCTGGCCTCGAACTCACAGAGGTCTGCCTGCCTCTACCTCTCGAGTACTGGGATTAAAGGCTTTAAAACCATCTATGCAGCCAGGCATGATAATGCATGTCTGTAATCTCAGTTACCTGGGAGGCTGAGGCAGGAAAACTTTAAGTTCAAGTCCAGCCTGAGCAACTCAGCAAGACTCAAAATAAAAATAAAAAAGGATTACAGCTGCAGATCAGTGGTAAGGAACTTTTCTTTCTTTCTTTCTTTCTTTCTTTCTTTCTTTTCTTTCTTTCTTTCTTCTTTCTTTCTTTCTTTCTTTCTTTCTTTCTTTCTTTCTTTCTTTCTTTCTTTCTTTCTTTCTTTCTTTCTTTCTTTCTTTCTTTCTTTCTTTCTCTTCTTTTTTTTTTTTAGCATAGGCAAGACCCTGGGTTCAATCCCAAGACTGAAAACAAAACCACAAAAAAACCCCACAACTATATATGTAGTGACGGGTACCATATAGTAATGGTATTCTGTGTAATAGGTATATGTTATAGAACAACATATGTAATATTATCCCCAGCTTGTTTTAAGAAACACAGACACACACACACACACACACACACACACACACACACGTATTGGTAGTGTTTACTGTGGCTAGAATGGTGTTTGGGTACTGAGTCACTTTTTCCTCATGCTGGACATTGGACCTAGGACTTCGTGCATGCTAGACACGTGTTCTACCCCTCAGCTGTGTTTTTAGTCTGAGTAATTTTTATTATTTGTTTCATTTCTGTATTTCCCCATTGCTTCTCTGTTTTTATATAAGTGAAAGTATTTTTGTTAGGGTTGTTAGACATTTAATACTTGTTTATTTGCAGTGCTGGTGAATTAGTCCAGGACCTTGTGTGTGCCAGGCAGGTACTCTACTACTAAGTGACATCCCTAGTCTAGGATCATTATATATTAAAAAAATCATACTAGGAAGTGTTTTGTTACTGGACAAATAAATGATATCAATTAATAACCACATGTAATACTTTGAGGAATAGAGATTTCAGACTTTCTTTAACCTTTCATTTTATATGTGTGTGTGTGTGTGTGTGTGTGTGTGTGTGCGCGCGCGCGCGCGCACGTGCACGCGTGTGGAGGTCAGAGGACAACTTATGCTAGTCAGTTTTGTTCTTCTATACAGCGGGCCCTGGGGATCAAACTCAGGTTATCTGGCTTGGTGGCAGATACCCTTGCCTACTGAGCAATCCTGCCCACCCCAGATTTGAGAAACTTTAATAAGTAAAGTGGGGCTCTGCTGGTCAGTTTCCCTTTCAGTCAGGAACCTCTTCCTAAGGTTCCACCCTGTTGCCTCCCTTATGTACATTTCATCTGTTGATTCAGCATCACACTCAGAAATCCAGAATATTTATTAAACATGTGATATGTTTAATATGTGAGTTCTAATTCCAGTTCTGTCCCTGATTTTGTGACCCAGGAAAATTAATAGTATCCCTGAAGCAGAGATTTCAGTCCAGTCCTGTGCCACTTCCATGCCTTGGTCAGTGAAGGAGCCCTGTGTGAAAGTGCCTTATAAGATTGGATTGCCTTTTTGACATTGTGACTGTCCTGGTGTGGGTAAGTGTGCAGCATGATCCCACAAGGACAAAACCACCTGGCAAAGAAGTTACCCCTGTTGTTACATCATACATGACCTTATCTCTAGAAAACTCAACATGCTGAAATGTAATAATATATAAATATATATAAATAAACCTGCTCTGTTCCTTTTTCTTTCTTTTTTTGGGGGGGTTGTCTTTTTGAGTCAGGGTTTCCCTATAGCCCCAGCTGGCCTGGAACTCGCTATGTAGACCAGACTGGATCTCACAAAGATCCACTTGTCTCTGCCTCCTGAGTGCTGAGATTGAAGGAATGTGCCACCACACCAGACTCTTTTTTTTCTTTTCTTCTGTCTTTTTGAGACAGGGTCTCCCTATAGCCCTAGCTGGCCTGGAACTCACTATGTAGACCAGGCAGGCCTTGAACTCACAGAGATCCGCCCGCCTCTGCCTCCCAAGTGCTGGGACTACAGGTGTGTGCCACCATGCCTGGCTCTTTTTTCTTTTCTGAGGCAGGGTATCTGTTTGTGGCCTAGGCTGGCCTCAAACTCCTGATCCTCCTGCCTGTATATATGAGCCTCCCAAGTACTAGATGACACATGGGCACAGCCATGCCTAGGTCTGTGACCTGCTTTTAAATTCTGTCCCAAGGTAGCAAACTCAGCTGCCTTTGCCAAGATCAGGCAGGAGTGGACAGTATGGACAGGCAATGAGTGGCTGTGTGTGGACAGGACAGGACCAGTCACAGAGATCTTGATTATCAGATGACAGGTGGTCATTTAAACCAGGGGCCAGCAGACATGAGAGGCCCAGATAATAACTGTTTTGGGCTCTATGGGCCACCAAGTCTGTCATGGCTTTTTAGCCTCTCCAGTGTTGCACTGTATACACAAATGAGGGTGCTGGGTTCCAATGTGCCTTCTATTTTTAAAAAATCCTGTCATTTTCTACAACATGATAAATTTGGAGGACATTATAAGAAATGAAATGTTAGGCATAGAAAGACAGATGACACATGTCCTTCTTACATGCGGACTCTAAAGCAGGTCAAGTTCACAGAAACCAAGAGTACAGTAGTGGCCCCCGAGGGTGAGGGCAGAGCTAGGCTGGGAGGTATCACTCGAGGCTGCAGAGCCGTGATAGGCAGTTAGTTCTGTGGAGCTAGTGTAAGCGTGGTCATGATAATGATGTTTGCTTGAAAATTGCTATGGGACTAGTTCCTAGACACTCCCACAAATGTGTGTGTGGTGAAGTTTGTTAGCTCTATTCAGCCATTTCTTTCTAAAAATATTTTATTTTTATTTTATATGTATGAGTGTTTTGCCTGCATGTATGTGAGTGCAACTGTGTCATGCACTGCCCTTGGAGGTCAGAAGGGGGCATAAGATCCCTTGGAACTGGAGTTACAGTTGATCGCCTCCATGGAGGTGCTGGAATCAAACCCAGGTCCTCTGCAGGAGCAGCCAGTTCTCTTAACCACTGAGCCATCTCCCCAGCCCCTGATTCAGCCATTTCTATATATCAGTATACATATACATTTATATATCAGCATGTTGTGCATTGTAAATGTATACAATTTTTGTCAACATACCTTGACTTTAAAATTTGACAAATAAAATAATTGTTGAAAGAGCAAAAGCAAAAACTGGTCCAGACCTATTTTGCCAGCCTCCAGTTTAGACTGATAGAGCCTCCATTTGCCTCAGTTCTCCAGATGAGCTTAGTTAAAATTCTTTATCATGTTTTACCACACAATTGACTGATACATAATTTGCTTAGAATTTTTCAGGACATGTGAATTAAAGCTGTCCAGCTACATGTATGTTGGGTCCCGGATTTCTCATGAACTGAATCTGAGCTTGCCTTGTGGCCTGGGGTTCTCTTCTGTTTTTCTCCCAGTTGAATGTATAAAAGTGGTCAGCATTGCACAGAAAAGCAGGACTCATTGCCAGTGCTGATCATGTGACTGCATGCAAATAGAAAACTTCTGCTTTTAGGCCAAGTCCCAGAGCTGTCTACCTAACCTATACATTGTGCCTGACTGCAGGGTGCACTGGTGGACTGGGCTCACTCAAGGCCTCAACCTCACTTACCTCCATTTGTTTCCCTGTAGAATGTAAAAGGAGAGGGCTGGCCCAAGAGCTCCCGCAGAGCAGTGCCCTCTGACCAGTGCCATGGCTTGACTATTTACCTGACAGGTTCTCATCCTGGATGTACTATCAGGAAAGTAGGTGGAAGAGCCTTATATCACCCAGAGCTAGTGAGTGAGGGCAGCAGACAGCAGCAGGCATGAGACAAACTGTGCTGGTGGGAAGGGCTTCACTTCCCAGTTCCATGGGGCTCTCTGAGCTGGAGATTGGGGACTTGCAGGGCAGGAGAGCAGTAGATGGGTGGGTTAATCAGGTTCTAATTCTTTTTGTTTTGTTTTTAATATTTATTCTTATTTTATGTGTATGCGTGCATTGCCTGCATATATGTAAGTGCACCCATATAGTGCAATGCCTGCGGAGAACAGAAGAGACTGTTGGGATCCCCTGGAACTGGAGCTACGGACTGTTGTTAGTTGCCATATGGGTGCTGGGATTTGAACCCAGGTCTTCTGCAATAACAGTCAGTGTTCTTATCTGCTGAGCCATCTCTTCAGCCCCCTGAGAGTCTAATTCTATCTGTCCTGGTTCTAAATGTACACTGTTTTCTTTCTCATGGGAAAAAAACGCATGTTTTTTTCCATGCACCAAAACCCAGGAGAACTTTCTGAGCAAGTGCATGGCTCTCTGGAGCCTTTGTGATCTAATTATCCCACAAGGCAGGTCACCTTATTGTCGGGCTCTTGCAAGTTGGATAGGCCAAGGCCAGAGAAGCCTGTGCCCCATGAATTCCAAAAATGAAACAAGAAAAGCCGTACCAGACTTCACAGAATGCCAGAAGCTTCTTCTAGGAATTGAGTCTTACTGTCTGGGGATGGCAAGTTGGTTGACATAGTTACAGAATTGTAGACTCATTCAGAAATTTCTGCTTTGCCCAGCATCCCTAAAGGGTTTGAAGCCAAAAGCCGAAGCAGCAAAAATGATCCAAAAGGACGGGGCAGCCCAAAGGAGAAGACGCTGGACTGCGGTCAGATTGTGTGGGGTTTGGCCTTCAGCCCGTGGCCCTCTCCACCCAGCAGGAAACTCTGGGCGCGCCACCATAACCAAGTGCCAGATGTCTCTTGCTTGATCCTGGCTACGGGTCTCAACGATGGGCAGATCAAGATTTGGGAGGTGCAGACAGGTAGGTCTTAATGGCTGGTGCTAGGTCTGGGTGGTGAGTTCATGGCAGGTTGGTCAGGTGCCACAGGCTCCACCCATCATCAGTTGGCTGAGGTGCAGCAATGAGGACAGCCTATGTTCACTGTGAACTGATTGAGGGCTTCTTCTCTCCTCCAGGGCTCCTGCTTTTGAATCTTTCTGGTCACCAAGATGTCGTGAGAGATCTGAGCTTCACACCCAGTGGCAGTTTGATTTTGGTCTCTGCGTCACGGGATAAGACTCTTCGAATCTGGGACCTGAATAAACATGGTAGAGGAGGGTTCCTGGACCACTCCAGAATACTCCAAAATGTTTCCATTTTCTTCATCTTACCAGAGCCAGGATTCTTTCTCCATCTTTTTTCTCTTACTCTCCCCCAAGAAACCTTTTAAAGATATTCTTTCTAGTCATTCTCTGCCCCAAAAGTACTGAACCAAAGAGATTTTAATATCAAGTTTCCTGTACAGTTACCTTCCAGGGGTAGGCTTCAAGACCCCAGGATACCAAAACCCAAGTGCTCCTGCCTGCCCCTTATGTAAATTGCCAGAGTATTTGCACATACCCTATAACATCTTCCGTACTTTAAACCATGTCTAGGGGACTCACAGTCCCTAATACAGTGTAATGCTGTGAAAACGGTTGCTATGCTGTGTTTAAATTTAATTTTATTATTGTTATTGGATGGAGGTGTACATGCTGCAGCACACATGGGAGGTCAGAGAACAACTATGAGTCAGTTCTGTCCTTCCATCATGTGGGTTCCAGGGATCAGATCATCGGGCTTGGCAACAAGTACCTTTTTACCTGTTGAGCCATTTCACTGTCCTAGGCAGTCTTAAAAAAATTTTTTTTCACTTACTGTCAGTTATAATAAATCCACAAGTATGGAATTTGTGGGTACGGAGGGTTAACTGTTATTTGCTGGAAGCCTGCCTGTGCTTTGAACACAGGAAAACATGTTTTTGAATATTCCTTTGGGGTGCTGTTTTCTCTTAGCATGTGTGATGCACAGGTTTTTTGGTTTTGGTGTGCCTGATTTGTGTCTGGGTGATGCTGTTAGGAGCTAGCCTACCTGGGAGGCTGTTGAGCAGCATCCCATCCCTAGTCTCTTTAGATGCCATTTTTACCCTCTCTGGTTGTGACATCCAAAAATGTTTCTAGGGATTGCCAGTGCTTCCTGGGAGATAATGACCACCAGCTGAGAACTGCTGGCCTGCAGGTAGTCCAGTTGGACTTCCTCCAAGAAATAAAGGGTGTCTCTGTGAAGTAGGATATAAGCCTATAGTAATTCTCAGGCTGTAGGTAGTCAGTTTTGAGGGCATTCTGTCTCAAGCAATCTGTGTACAGAAGTGGCCCAGGAAAGAGTTACACATAGCTCTGGTGCTGAGTTCTAACTGGTGACACAGGAAAGAAGAATTTATTGCCATCTATTTCCCCCACAAATGAATGAGGACATGGGCTGGTAGGAATAGAAGGGAGAGGTGGTGAAGTGGACATGCCTGGAAGAGGCATGTGTAGCCCACAGTGTGAGGGACCAGAACTCTAAGCCATGGTGGTCATCCTGTCCTCACCATGGGGCATTTCTCTTAGAAAATGAGCCTGATAATGTCTCGTTAGGTTGGGTTGCTATAGTAGATACTACAAGGTGGAGGCTTCACCAGCAATTATCTCCTCTTCTCTGTTCTGAAGACTGGGAAGTGCAAGGCCAAGGTGCTAGCAGATTCTGTCAGGTGGTGGGGAGCCCACTCAGTTCAAGGATGGCTATCTTACTCTCATAAGCAAAGGGATGAGAGAGCTCTCTGGGCTTGCTTGTATGTGTCACAGTTATACAGGATTCATTCATAAAGCATGAATCCCATTCACGGTTTTCTCTTTATGACCAATTTAGCTTCCCAGAGGCCCCATTCCTGGTGCTATCACCTTAGGGATCAGAGTTTTAGCATATGAACTTTGGAGGTCCCCACAGTCCATAGCAGCTTGTCACAAACAGTTAAGGTGTTTGGAGTGTCTTCATCCAAATGTACTCACTAGAAGAACCCAAGCAGTTTCTTCTCAGGACTAGAACTTGAAATCTAGCCAGCTAAGACAGCCTGTTGACAAGAGAGGCTTCTGAAAGCCCAGGGCCTCACCCATACTAGGCACAACTCTACAACCAAACTGCCCATCAGCTTGAGCACTGCCATATTTTTTTAATGTGTCTCACTATGAGCTCAGTCCAGATTGGCCCTGGGCTACAAGAGATTCTGATTATTCCTTCTCAGTGCTGGGATGAAAGGCGTGGGCCACATGATTCCTTAGTGCTGTTTGAGTAAGTGCACAGTGGCAGCACGCCACCACCACAGGAAGGTTCAGGAAGAGACTTTGGGTATCTCTTACTGATGGGTATGAAGGATTAGGTGTGACTAGCAGTGACTGAGAGTGGGCAGAACAGAGTGGGCTGTTAGTGGGATTTTCAAGACAAGGGGGACAAATGTGTTAACACAGGCACCAGGCATTTTCCTACCAACTTGACTTGCCTTAACAGATTTAGCTATGACACCTTGAGTTGTGACACCTGAAGGAACCACAGCTGATTTTCACTTTTTTTTTTTTTTTTTTTTTTTTTTTTTTTTTTTTCAGCTGTCCTGGAACTCACTATCGAACTCAGAGATCTGCCTGCCGCTGCCTCCCAAGTGCTGGGATTAAAGGTGTGTACTACCACGCCCGGCTGCTTTTTATCTTTTTCAGACAGGGTTTCCCTGTAGCCCCAGCTGGCCTGGAACTCATTATGTAGACCAGGCTGGCTTTGAACTCACAGAGATACACCTGCCTCTGCTTCCCAAGTGCTGGGACTACAGGCGTGCACCACCATGCCTGGAAACAAAATACTCATTTTATACATACACATGAACTTGGTAAATTCTTGTGTCTGACTAGATATGTGCTTACCAAGTTCTTTTCTTCTTGCGGGACTCTGCTTTTGCGTTATTTTCTGAGTTCCCTCTTCTTGTCTTTCCCACTTCCCTTGCAAGTTAATAACCCATATTAAGAGCCCAGGGTATCGTCTCCAGCCATAATTTTCCTGTACTTGTATACTCCTACATGCTGGGTTTTGAGGTCACGATTTCACAGAAACAGAATCATAGTTCTCACCTTTTTTCCCCTGCATGTTGATATATATATA